AGAGGGGGATCGCCTCCCACCCTGGAGTCTCCGATCCCGGCCCGATTTTATCTTCCCCGGTTCACACTCACGTTAGAAGGCTCTCTCGGTGGATTCTGCGTCTTTTTTCTCCCAATCTCTCAGGTTTTGTAAGGTTTCCAATGGCTTCAGATCTTTTCTGTGTGATGTATGGGTGCAAGTGCAAGTACGGAGCTCCTTACTTCTCCGCCATCTTGCCCTCTCTCCTAGACTTAAGATTTTAAAACTTTTGAGCAGTGCCTGATTTATACAGAATCCAATCTTAATTTGTGTACAACTGTGTTAACAACTATATTTTCACACCTTCCAGGGCAAGGTACAAAATTAACTTATGTCCCCAAATGCTACCATTTATCCCCCAAATACTCCACAGGTGCACATACTAGTGCAGACACATATAGATTCCATGTTTTCCCCATGTGCTTCTACTGTTTCTTGTCATTCGCCTAATTTGCTTCTCTGGAAGGAGGCAGTGACTCAGCGTGTGTGCACTGAGGATCTGGAAGAGCTAGGTGGTAAGCCCATGACTAGGGAACTCTGCAGTACCATCTCCCTGGAGCTGGGGGGAAAGCAGATCTCAATCCATCCTCTTAATCTGACTTTCTCCCAGAACCACTGTCAACAATTTAGAGTGTATCTGCAGACTTTTCAATATTAACCCTTGCCCATTTAGCTGAAATAGTTTTTGCATGTACTGGATGTACATACATGTAAGATGTACTGCAATTGGAAAGGAACACTGTTTCATGTTTTATCACCAGAATGTTCAGCAACATCTACCATTAATAGTTGCTCATTTAATAATAGTCTCATTTGCTTAATGAAGATGAGAAATAGAAGTTCAATAGATGAAGTGACTTGCCCAGGCTGGTAAGTAATGGGATTGGAAATTCATTTGACCATGTCTAGAAGGTTCTACTTACTTTGTCAAAGAATCGCTTGACTGACAACAAAGAGGCTGGCACTTGGGCAGGCAGCAGAGGGAGAGCCTGAGCTCTGGCGGGAGATGGCATCCTCTTCCTCTGTTCCTCATGCCTGGAGGATCCCCTAAGGCTGAGCTGATGCTGTCTCAACATGATGGGGGTTTTGATTCTGGTTTTCCACTTGTCTTATCTTGCTCTTATGCTAACGGACTGCTTCCTGGTTGTGCTGATGGGGCATTTCCTAGGCAGCCTTCTCTCCTCTGGACCTAAGGGAGAATGAAGGAGATGCCATTGCTCTCACAAGGCACAGACCCTGGAGAGGACTTCCACATGGACTCAGTGGGCTCTGCCCTGGCACATGTGTGGGAGGACGTGACTCTGCCTGGAAAGGAGAGCACGCCATGTTTGCACAAGCAGCTCTAGGTGGCTGGGGTTTGGTGCCTGCCGCTCACCTCTGTGGCATCACCTTGGGTCAGACCTTCTCCTCTCCTGCTCAGGCTTCAGGTATCCACGAAAGGGTGCGCATGATGGTAAAAAATTCTTTTTGCCTCTGGAATTCTGTGGTTTAAACTTGCTACACAACAGTTAAAACAAAGCAGTCAATATATACATTTATGGTTTTGCTGCCTTTGGAAGGGCATAGAACCACTGAGCTTATCCTCCCTAATGATCAAAGTTTAGCCAGTTTCCTCTTTCTTCTGAGGACATGGTCTCTTGGAGATGCAGAATTGGGTCTTTGCCCATCCCTGTACATCTCTTTTCTTCTCCTCTCAGGGGAGGGGGCCAGATGTTCTCTTGGAACTTAACACTCAGCACAGGTGCTTCTTCCAGGAGGGGCATGCAGGGGGAGAGGTGTGTTGCTAGCTTGGCTGGGGAATGGCTGTGTCACAGATCTGTTCCAGGGGAGGAGATCAGACATAAATAAATTCCTGGGGAAGTCTCAGGACTTGCCTTCTGCCCTCTGAGCCTCTTGTAGTAGGCGCAAAGTGAAGTCCCCATGGCATACGAGAGAGAGCTAACTTCTGCCTCCACACTTACATCTCTCCTCACTTGTCTAAGCACCAGAACTGTAGAGTTTGGCTCATTTAGAGAAAGATATTTTTAAGGAGAGCTGGGCAAAGAGGGAGTGAGCTGCTTCTGAAGTAGTGAGGTCACTGACACAGGTCACAGAATGCCACCCAGGCATTGTGACCTGGGAGGTAGGTCTGAGGGCTCCACTCAGAGAAGACTGTCTGAGGTATCAGGTAGGTGAGACCTCCAGATCAGAGAGATCTCATTATTTAATTATCTTCTTCTTATAGTTTGTTCTTATTTCATTAACTTTTGTGTTATCATCACGAACTCTTTCCTCAGCTTTTTACTTTGGAGAACTACTGAAATTAAATGTTTCAGTATTTTCAGATTCTTTTGGAAGGAAAATGTATTTAAAGTATACATGTTCCTCAGAGTGTTTCTTTGGCTGAATCTTACAGGTTTTGATATATAACATTCTCAATTACATTCACTTTTAATAGCCTTTAATTTCACCTTAGATTTCTTTTGACATTGCTTTATATTTTAATATGTAAACTTTATTTTGGGGGAAAGAATCTACCCTTTTATTCTTAGTATCTGGATTTAGTATATATATGAACTTGTTATGATTTTTACACTTTCAAATTAAGATTTTATTGGGAGAAAAGGATACAGTAGATTTTTATAAAATTTCTACATATTTTTGAAAATGTGCATTGTTTTGGGTTGAAACAGTATGTTCATATCTTTATATTTTACCTCTCTTGTTATACAATCATGATTGTTAATTTTATTATTTAAATCCATGGTCTTTTATGTTTTCAGTCTTTTAATTTTTTAAATAAGTTTGTCGAAGTGCCACCATGTTTTTGACAACTAGAGCAAGGTAAATACTGCACTTCTATATCTTCTGTGGGTTCCTAATAAACTCACATAAGTGCCAGGGATAGTGATGGCTTGATTATGGAGAACTAGTCTTGTGCCTAAGGGCAACCAGAATTGCCCTTTTCTTCTTCATTGAATTGAAGAAATTTGGTCTTGCAGCCTGGGATGAACAAGTCACATAATCAGCCAAAGGCTAGACAGTTAGGAACCCAAGAGTAGAGTGCCAGAGGTAGAAATGTGCAAAGTCTCACAATGATAAGGCAAAAACATGTTTTAAAAACAGCAAAGGAAAGTAGAACACGCTCTTTCTGCTTTAATGTGGGGTATCTGAATGTCGTTTTCTCCACTTTCCACTGGTCAGATTATTCTCTCTCAGATAGAAAACTGCATATGAAGGAGTGGAAGAAGAAACCAACCAGGGCCTGGTGTAGCTTCCTTACTTCTCCGGAAACACAAGAAATAAGGAGGTAAGCATGCCTCAGCAACAACTTTGTCTATCTTCTGTCTTAATTTTAATCTTGTGTAGTATATTTGTGTCTGTGTATGTGTGTTTATGTGTGAGTGTGGGAGAGAAATTTTGTCTTAAGTAAACAATATATTTGATTTGACATAAGTTGAGAGTGTTTTTTTTTTCAAAAGGAAAATTTAATAGACTTTAAGGCACACCTCATTTTTTACAAATTGAAGGTTTGTGACAACCTTACACCAACCAAGCCTATTGGCACCACTTTTACAACAGCATCTGCTCACTTCATGTCTTTGTGTCACATTTTGGTAATTCTCACATTACAAACTTTCTCATAATTATTATATTTGTTATGGTGATACGTGATCAGCGATCTTTGATGTTACTGTTATAATTGTTTTGGGGACCCATGAGCCGCATTAACATAAAAAGGCAAACTTAATTGATAAACGTGTGTTCTGACTGCTCCACCAACTGGCCATTCTCCCATATCTCTCTCTGTCCTCAAGCCTCCCTCTTCCATGAGACACAACAATATTGAAATTAGACCAATTAATAAATTTTCAGTGGCCCTAAGCATTCAAGTGAGAGGGAGAATCAATTGATGTGGCAAACTTCATTGTCTTATTTTAAGAAATTGCCACAGCCACCCAACCTTCAGCAATCGCTACCTTGATCAGTCAGAGCTGTCAACATCAAGGCAAGACCCTCTACCTGCAAAAAGATAATGACTTGCTGAAAGTTCAGATGATGCTTAACATTTTGTAAGCAATAAAATATTTATTTATTGGAGAAAGAAAGAATGTGAGCAAGGGAGAGTAGACAAGGGAGAGAAAAAGAGAGTCTTAAGCTGTGGAGCCTGATGCCAGGTTTGACCCCACGACCCTGAGATCATGACCTGAACTGAAATCAAGAGTCAGACACTCAACCGACTGAGCCAACCAGGCACCTCAGCAATAAAGTATTTCGTAATTAAGATGTGTACATTGTGTTTTAGATACAATGCTACTGCATACTTAATAGACTATAATATAATGTAGTATAAATATAGCTTAATGCACTGGTAAACCCCAACATTCATTTGACTGGCTTTATTGTGGTAATCTGGAACCAAATCTGTGGTATCTCTAAGGTGTACCTGTATATCAAGGGAGAAGCAGTATCATAGTTAAGGGTGTGGGCTCTGGGTTCAAATTCTATCTCTTAAAGTTACTGAAAGAATAGCCATGAGAAAACAACCCTCTATGGATCTAAAGTTTCTCTTTTTAAAAATTCATAACTCACAGAAATGTAAACAAATTAAATGACTTAATATGATGAAATATTTAGAATAGTAACTGGCACAGAGTAAATCTTCCATCGGCTATTAGGGTTGCTTTACTCTCTGCTCAAATTTTGTAACATTTCTTAAATTTTGAAAGTTCTATCTTTTATTAAGGCTGCCCATTTTTTAAATGTTTTTTTAAAAATTTATTTCTGAGACAGAGAGAGACAGCGTGAGCCGTGGAGGGTCAGAGAGAAAGGGAGACACAGAATCCGAAACAGGCTCCAGGCTCTGAGCTGGCTGTCAGCACAGAGCTCGATGTGGGGCTCGAACCCACGAACTGTGAGATCATGACCTGAGCCAAAGTCGGAGGCTCAACCGACTGAACCACCCAGGTGCCCCAAGCCTGCCCATTTTTAACTAATATACATCTGTTTTATATTAAGTGTAGTGTGAATTTTCCTGTTGATTAAAGAATAATTAGGGGCGCCTGGGTAGCTCAGTTGGTTGAGCATCCAGCTTTGGCTCAGGTCATGAGCTCACGGTTCCTGAGTTGGAGCCTTGCATCAGGCTCTCTGCTACCAGCACAGAGCCTGTTTCGGATTTTCTGTCTCTCTCTGCCCCTCCCCTGCTTATATGTACTCTTTCTGTCTGGAAAATAACTAAACATTAAACAAAGAATAATTAATCTCAATTCATTGAGATTTATGATTTCAAGATGCTTTGACTACTACTGAAAACAACAAAACCTAAAAGGGAAAGGAGAGAAATTGAGCAACTTAAATGAAACAACAAAACAACAAATTGCCACTACTTCAACCAGAAGTGGTGGGGAGCATCTGCCAAACATCTCACCCGAGCCAACCCGAGATGAGACTGTGCAGGCCAAGAAGCTATGTGCACCCCCTGGGACCACAGGCCATACACAAAACCTCCCAACTGGTGTTACCATCCAGAAGTCACCTTCAACAGATCTTAGACTAGCCACGGTCTAACCTGCGGATGGTTTAATTATGGAGTCACTTGGCCATAGCTGACCTGACTCATCTGCACAGATGCTTTGAAATCCACAGAATCCTGTGAGAGGTCAAGGTTACCTTGTGTTCGTTGCTGCTGATGCATTTGCTAGTAAAATCCTAGTGCTCCATTTCACTGACTTCCTTTATGTGATGAAAGAAAATCTGGCACGTTGACTTTCTTTTTGACAGTTCCCTGCATCAGAACTCTCCCCAGTTGAGATCACTTTAATGATTTCTCCATCTTTGCATGGAGCCGTGTCTTGGTGCCGCCTTCTTAAGCGGAGTTCCTTCTCGCAGGCTGTGGCTTGCAGTACCAGAACAAAGAAGATGTTATTGTTCTCTGTGGAAGTGAATTGATGCCCCTCTGGGAGTCTGGATATTATCACGATGAAAAAGATTCAGTGTTTCTTTCGGAAGTGGTAAATCATATCCTTTGTGAGGTGTGCATTCAATCTCTTTCTCTTTCTTTCTTTGAGGAGTGGCCAAGCCAGAGTGATACTTCGGTCTTCGCTCCTTGGATGAAGGTGGGGAAGGACGTCTGAGTCACCAAGTCCTCTCCTCCAGGCGCACAGGCCTGCTGGCTCCCATTTGGCTTCCAAGTGCTCACATATCCAGAGCTGCCCATCACTTACCTCCAGAATCCCTCCCATCCCTTCCCATCCTTTTTGGAACAGACTGGCCTCCTCTTGCCTCATCTCCATGTTCCAGTGCTTTGGGGGTCTTCTCTGCTCCACTTCACTAGGAATAAGTGAGGCCTCATCTGGTGAGCTGGGCCTTGCTGATATATTGCCTTCTTGTGTGTTCCCCCATCTCAGGCAACATGCCTGGGCCCACCATGGCGCTTTTCCTTAGGAGGGCCTTCCAATGCCTTTGGGAGGCCCAGCCGCCCGAGTTACATTGGTGTTAACTGCAGAAATGAAATGAACAGTGATGAACATGTAATAGTTTTCATTCAGAAGTTAATTGTGTAAATATCAGTGAATGTTTTGGACTCTGGGTGCCTGGTAACTTCAGTGGGAGCCGACGTCACCATACATTGCTACAAAGGCTATCTTGACCTGCATTAATGGAGAAATGGAGTGTGGATCAGAGGAGCTAGTTCTGCTGTCCTCTGTGCTGGCTTCTTTGTCCAGAACTTCATATTTCACCTGTCCATTGCATAATAGAAAGAACCTTGAAAAGGAATATAAGAGATAGTGATTAACATTTTGAGGAATCTAGAAACCATGCTGTGTTGTATGGAATGAGTGGAAAAACTGTCTAACTCAAACAGGATGCTTATCTGGAGAAAAAAAAAAAAGAAGACGACGACTTGGGTAGAAAAAGAGTGCTGTCTCCAGATGTGTAAAAAAGTTCAACATAGTAGAGAAAACAAACCGGTTCTGTGTAATCACCATAGGGTAGAACTTTGATCTTTAGTGGGAGTTGTAGGGGATGGATTTCATTTCATTCTATTTTAACAGCCTTGAGGCAGCCACATGGGCAAGCAGTCACCATGTCACCCGGAATGCCCAAGCCAAGGCTGGCTCCCCTTCTCCAGGACCTGGGTAGGTAAGCACTTGGTCTCTTGCCTCTGAGTACAAGTGGTTCTATGGCTATTGAAGCAAAGGCAATAGCATCCCTTCTGTGGCTCCTCATGGAGGAGAGCAGTGGGACCTCACCGTGCTCATGGAGGGCGCCGGACCTGACCGAGGCCTGCAGGGGATGTTTTCTCAGCTTTAAGTCTCGAGTTGATGAACCAGGCCTGGAGTTCACCTGCCAACCCTCCCTCACTCCTAACATCTGAAAGAAAGGCTGCAACCCCAGGCACAGACTGTCCCATCTGCACCCTGAAAACAAGACTGAGGGTGACCCATGTTGGCCTGAGGATGAAAGGCAGGGGCTGGAGTTCTGGGCTGGGGCTGGGCTGTAGACATGCTGTGTGGGGCTTTCTCTTTCCTGGTGTTATCCCCTGTTTGTGAAGTCCATTCCCATGGATGTTTCAGGCACTGCCCTTCTCAGAAGGTTAAAAGCTAAGCCGGCTCCATAGGAAGCAGCTCCAATGTTTAGCCAAGTCTGGTGGAGTCATTTGGCCCGCCTCTGTCCAGTGAGCTTGAGCCAGCACTTGTGCACCTTTGCTGATGGGAAGCTTATCAGTAAACTGGTAGCTCATCTGATGGCACTGAGCAGGGCTTTGGAGGCTGGCACTCACATCACAGCATCTTAAGTAGCCACAGCCTTTTCATGCAGAAATGCAGGAAGAAGAATCCTTCTCCATGCCTTACCTGGCAGATTGATTCTATAGGAAAGAGAAAAGCAGAAGAAAAGAACACTGGTGTTGAATTTACAAAGAAAAGCAAGTTCCAAGGATTCCTGAAGTTGGTTCTCATTCTTCCCACTTAATCTACACTTTTATTTTGTTTACATTTTAAAACTTCTATTTTATAATTTTATACTTACAAAGAATGGCACAAAAAGAGTACAAAGGATTTCTCTGTACCTTTTGACCAAATTTCTCAGATGTTTAGTCTCATGTAACATGAGTAGTACAATGACCAAAATCAGGAGATTAACTTGATGTGACACTAGTCTAATCTATAGGCCTTTACCAGTTGTCCCACAAATGTCTCTTTTCTGGTCCAGGTTCCATATCAACTTCATGTGTTGGGTTTAGATGTATTCTGAATCCATCTGACTATTAGATGGAATAGTCTTATCGATGCCTTCAGCAAATTTAATTCTAGAGAAGGAGAATGTATCCATTAGAGAATTACTGAGTGTCTGCTTCGCCCGTGCTGTGCCCTGATGGGGATGAGGTGATACCACATGGAAAAGGAGAGACACCATCCCTGCCATCTAAAGGTTCCCAGTCTAATGTTGAACACAGACAATAAAACCAGCAGTTTCAATGCAGCATGGCAATTACCATTAAAGGGAATGAAGAGAACATGCTGGTTGGGAGAGGAGACACCTCAACTCAACTGGGAAAATGCAAGAAAGAATTTCTGGAAGAGATGATATTATAGAGTTGAGGCCCATGGGATGAGTAAGAGTTTCTCAGGCTGGGAGAAGGTCATTGTGGTGTGAGATCATACAGGCAGTGACAATGGCATTGGTGAAATTCCAATAGCATAAGACATCTGCTCTGAACGCTCAGCTGAAATGCTTTCTGGAGTCTGGACATGAGACATGACATGAAGAGAGGTCTGCATGGGGCTAGAGAGGCAGGGAATGGCCGTATGTGCAAAGGCTTGGAAGTTGTAAGGGTTTATTTTTGACCAGAGAGCAATGGCCAAACATCAAAAAATGTTTCGTGCAGGAGTGTGGTGATCATAGTTGTGTTTGCAAAGACTACAAGATACGATGTTGGCCTGAGTCAAGATGGAGCAGTGGATGTAGAGACATGTAAAAAAACCCAAGATTTGGAGGAAGCAGGATTGATAGGATATAGAGGTTGGTTGGATGGAGATGTAGAGATTGGTTGGATATAAAGATTGGTCCTATGGAGAGGGTGAGGGAGAGGTAGTGGTCAAAGGTGAAGCCCAAGCCATGGCTTTGGCAATGAGTGGAAATTGGTGCTTTATACCTTCTCTAAGGTAGAAGACACAATGGAAGGAGCAGTTCTGAGGGTGGCTTTTATGCTGAAGTGCTTGGGTAAACTGTGTGAAGTTAGAATGGAAAACTGATGCTCTCTTGACCCCCAGTCCAAGGCTATTGACTTTATTGCATGCCTCCTAACTCTTGCTAACCCAGCAAGCCACTGGTGTGAAATTGTAAAATACACACATAGGTGCTCTTGAGAAGCAGACTGCATGCCCTGGTCGCTGTCACTGGAGAGCCCGCATCAAGGGCTCCCCCAGGCTTGGGCAAACACTGTAATAAAGTGAAACCCAAACTTAGGTAGTGATTTCTGTTGCAATCTTATTCAGCTGGGAGAGCAGGAGTGGCTGGATTCAATACTGCTGAGATGGGATTAGGAGAGCACGGTAGGTAAGGGGAGTTGTCCCACCACCACAGGGTTGTTTGCTGAGAGAAGAGGAGCAAAGGGCCAGGCCAGAACAGGCAATTGTCTGGGGTATTGGACTCAAGAAAATGCCAGGAAGAGGGGGAGGGGCATCCTTTCCTCCAGCCTGTCAGAGAAGGGCTGGGAAGAGCAAGGGAACTAGTCAGCATGGAGCTCTTTCTACCTGGAAGCCCCCACAATAGTTTCTGTCCTACCACTTGCTGATGAGGAAGGTAGGGTTCCATAAGGTTAATGACCTGCTCAAGGTCACATAGTAAGTGTAGGGCCACGACTTTGATAAAGCCCTGACTCTGTAGCTCTTTCTTCTGCTCTATGCCTCCTGATATCAAGTAGAAGCTCAGGTCTAGTTTAAGCAACTGTCAAAACTGTCCAGGGGCAGGCAGGAGGAGGATGCCTGGACAGAAGGAACAAAGAGAAAGTTTATTATTGCCACCCAAGAGTAGTCACTGGCACCATGCAAGGCTCTGGCCATCATCAGGAATATCCCTCCTGAAGAGGGAAAAGAGTTGGATAAGATCTAATTCCAGGGAATAGTGTTGAGGGCACAGCAGGAAGGATGGTGACGCAGCATTGCACAGGGAACAGGCCGGCCTCTGGCAAGCAGAACCTAGCCAAACAGTCATAAGTCAGGCTGGCCCAGTCTGGTGTGAGACCCAGTCCTGATGCTCCCTCCTCATCCTTGATTCAGGATCTGTTCTTGGTCCACTGCAAGGCTAGTCTTGAGTAAAAGCTGATCTAGAAGCAGCAATGCACCAGCTCCAGGGGTTTTGTTGATGTTTATGGAAGCTGTCTTTTCCCTTTTGACCCATATTCACCCTGATTTGCAGACCTGCTCCACCCTGACAGGCTAGGCTGGAAGCACTTAAGAAGAAGAGATCTCAGCTGGACTCTTCCTCTCCTTCCAGCACTGGGAGAGAGGGAAGTCTGCTCCCCCAGCAGTCATTCAGTCTTGGTGGCTCAGCTGGAGGAGGAAGTCTAGGCAGGGAGTGTGTGGGGGCGCAATCTGGTTTAACTAAATTTTATGGGCCCTAAGAACAGGGGAGAAAGCAGGACTGGAATGTGAGGAGTGGGTGGGGAATGACTTGCCTGCCCCAGTTTCTCATCTGCCAGAACTGTAACTGAAGCATTGGCTGCTATCAGGTAGCATTAATTGACATCCAGGGTCACTGTGTCCCCTCTCCATACTTGGATAAATTCACTGCCCATAGATTGGCACCAATTCTGTGCTCACAGTCTGACTGCAATCCTAAGAGGGAGGAACCTTGGCTAGCCTGGCAAGGGAGATACTCCTGGCTGGATGCAGGACTTCTCAAGCTATCAAGATATCCTGGGACTCCATCTTCAAGGAGCTTTTTGGACCATGTAAAAGGAGCACAGACAAGCAGACACAACTTGAAATGCATATTATTTATGGACCAACTTAGTCCACCGCAAATGGCTGGGCAGCACCCCTAAAAATGAGTCAGGGGTCTCCTGTGCAGCATCTGGGGGTGGAAGTGAGCAATGTGAATATTTTTGGTGTGTGCTAAAATTTGTTTTTTTTTTTTTTTTTTCTTGGGAAAAGAACCTCAAGCTTCTTCGATCCCTTTCTATCATGTATCCTTGGCAGCTCTGGGAGATATTTTCTCTATTAAACAAACCAACAGCTGCTGGTTTTGGCTACAGTTTGCTTTGCTCAGTTCTTGGGCGGAAAGAAGATGCTCAGCTGTCTTTGAGAGTTATCAGTGGAAATCAAAATAAAAAACACAGAACAGATGGGCCTAGAGGATGGAAACCCCGAAGGGCACTGTGGGCTCCCATCCCCAGTAGAAAGCCGCAAATTCTTGACGGTTATAGGGTTCTCCTCCTGCCCAGGCCCAGCCTCGAGTGCTCAACTCCATACTGCAGGGATGCGTGGTCTTCCTCCCATTTGACCTTTCAGGATAGAGGACA